ACTCGATCGCAACGAAAAACACGAAAGAGACGATCGAGAACATTTGTCGACAAGATCATAAGCAAATCCGGCTTCCACACGCATTGTTTCACGCACAAATGATCCCCCGTCGTTATCGGAAACGAATATTGCACGTATGACGCGAACGCGTATTTGAACCGACGAGAATTAAACGACGAAGGCGGAAAGACGTTACGTTGCGGCGCGGCGATCGTCTACTGCGTAAGCAACCGTGCTCCGAGCCGTGCGGACCCCGTAGGATACGTCACATGACGTCACAGCGCGTGATGCGTTCAAAAGGCAGTACGGCCAGTACCGGTTAGTACCGGTGTACGTTGCGCGGCGTTCAATTGCGTTCAATGCGGTATTTAATCTACTGAACAGTCATATAAGTCACGGTTGTAATAAATGATGACAATAAATAAAATTCTTTAAAGATCGAGTAGTTTATAATCAAGTAGAAAACGAGACTGACATAGCACTGTGAAATTGAAGGATTATTTTAGTTCGTGTATTTCCCACTAGATTGCCATGATCGAGAGTCTATTGAAGGTTTAATGGAATTTTCTCGAGAGTGATTTTAAACACGTTTCGAAGTATATATACAATTATAAAAGATCCTCAAACTGTACTTGCTTCGGCAGTACATATACTAAAATTGGAACGATACAGAGAAGATTAGCATGGCCCCTGCGCAAGGATGACACGCAAAATCGTGAAGCGTTCCACATTTTTTGACAAAAATTACGAGAAATTGCTTTTTATTGTAATTAATAAGGAATATATAGTACTTATTAATTCCTTTATATTTTTTTAAATTGATTTTACTACTCGATTTAATTTTTAGAATGTATTTGGTATATAATCTGTGCAAAAAATAAATAAATAAAATTGAAAATTCATATTTTTTGTACAAAAATGAATATTACATATATATAAAATAATCATATAAGATAATTTATATTTAACAATACAATCTTATAATTTAAATGAAATTTTTTTGTTTTAAAAACGTTAATCTTTAAAAACGTCTTCTTATTAAAATGTTTTGTCCAAGTTCAAAATCATCACCACTTTTTGTATTATTTTCACAAATGTGTTAAAAAATTTGTAAGTTTTTCATAATTTTTTCATTAAAAAAATATGTACAATACATTCTTAAATGCATTAGTTATTATCCTAGGATAATATTATCCTGCAAAATCTGTTATGCACAGTTTTTTTTTAATAAATTAAGAATGTGTGCATTATTATACGTATAAAATTTGGATTTTTAATATAATTTTCAATCTCATCGGATCTTCACATATCCGGATCACATATCCATTTGTTGTAAATTTTTGTTGTTATAACAAATTTTTCGAGAGCATTGAATGGTTATAAAATAGGGAATTTCTAAGAATTCGAATATTTCTTTATCCTGCAGCAATCAACATCTGAGAAAAAACTAGAATTGTCCCCCTTCCTCTCGTGTAGAAAATGTTGACCATGCTGCACCACACGGCACCACGCGATGATCAATAGTGTACGGCTATAAAAGTTTTGTGGCATAACATTTTAATGAAATAATTTAATGTTAAAATATTGAAACAAATTTATTCCATTTTATAGATCATTTTTAACGGCCTTGTTATATTATTAAAATTAATATTTAGATATTAAAACGTGTTGTATGAAGTTATATTCCCTTGTTTGCAACATAGAGGTTAGAAGTCTGGAATTGTTTAAACAGTAAGTAACAAAAAATTTATATATTTTTACATAACAAATGATAAAAATTATGGAATATCCTTTGTTTATAAAATATTATTGTTTATAAAATAGTTTAGAAACATTTATGCTGTAAATAAAAAATCTATTGAACAGTTTGTAGGTTAAATGGGTCGCAAAGGAAAATTTGATAAAGATCTTAGTGGTCGTGGAAGGAAGGCAAAGAAACAGAGTGATCCAACATTTCCAAAAGGAATTCTAGGTATGAAAGGTTGTGATTAATTTTTGTTAATATATTTGCGTGAAATATAAAATTAACTAAACCTTTCTATATTATAGGTAAAGAATCTACATTAAGTCACCGGCAGAAACAAAGAGCAAGGAAAAGACTATTGAAGAATCAACAACTAAAAGAAAATGCAAAGAAATTGCTCAAAAAGAAAACTACTGTAGAAGAACAAGTACAGTCAAAAAATGTATGTATTTCTTGATTTATATAATAAAAAGTCTATTATTACTTTTTACAGCTTTTATATAAATGAACTTTGTTTAATTAATTTTAGAGGGAAGATATATTAAAGCAGCAGAAAGAGAAGAAGGAGAAGAAAGTAAAGTTTATCAATGAGAAAAGAGATGAGGTAATCCAATCTGGTCTGAGCTCAAAGCTAAAAACAAAAGTGAAACAAAATAAAAAGAAAACAAAGGGAAAACAAAAAGATATAATAAAAAATGTAGAAAATAATAGTAATAAGAATCACAGTAAAGATGACAAAATTAAAACATATTTTAATAATCAGGTTTCAAAGCTAAGTAAGAAAACCAAACAAAATAAAAAATTGAAAAGCATGACTAATAAAAGCAAGACCAATATAAAAAGTGAAAATTATAATGATAATAATTATAGTGAAGATGAAGAAATGGAAATATACTCTAATAAACAAGTAACCAAACTAGGCAAAAAAGCAAAGCAAAGCAAAAATAAAAATATGAAAGTTAAGACTAGTATAAAAAATGAAAGTTTTAGTATTAATAATCATAGTGAAGATGAAGAAATGGAAACATATTCTAATAAACAAGTAACTAAACTAGGCAAGAAAGTAAAGCAAAGTAAAAAGAAGAAAAATATGAAAGTTAAGCGCAATGAAGAAAGTGAAAGTGATGATGATAATATGTTATTTAACGATGATGACATTGAGGAAGATAAAGATGAACAAATGAATGAAGTGAATACTAGTGAAGATGAAGAACATATGAGTGAAGATGAAAATGAAACAAGCGAAAATGAAGAGAATATGAGCGAGAATGAAGAGGATACGAGCGAGAATAAAGAGGATACGAGCGAGAATGAAGAGGATACGAGTGAGAATGAAGAGGATACGAGCAAGGATGATAATCAATTGCTTTCTGCAACAAAGTCAAAGAAAAACTTGAAGAAAACAAAAAAATTTATGGAGGATAATATAGAAAGTGATAGTGAAGAGATAGTTTCCAATGATGAGGAAGAATCCACCGAAGATGAGCAAATGGAGGAAGATGGAGAAGAAAATGATGAAAGTGATGATGATGACTTACTTCCAATAGAAAAAGCTAATAAAAAACTGAAAAAGAAAAAAGAAAAAGAACAGTGAGTAAATTTTTAATTATTTTTAATTATTTTTTAACTTCCTAATATTAATTTTTTTAACTTAATTCTTTCCATTTTTTTATTAAATAGAAAACTTGCTAAGGAAGAAATGGAAGATATGATGACACATCAAAGTGTATTCTCTTTCCCAAATGACGAAGAATTTACTAATGTTACTAATTTAAAAGATATTCAACAACGAATACGAGACGTTATCATGGTGTTATCAGATTTCAAGAAATTACGGGAGAAAAATAGGTCACGTTCTGAATATACTGAACTACTTCGAATGGATTTATGTACATATTACAGTTATAACGATTTTCTAATGGAAAAATTGATGCAAATGTTCCCACTAGATGAGTTACTAGAATTTTTGGAAGCGAGTGAAGTACAAAGACCTATGACTATCCGAACGAATACTTTGAAAACCAGACGACGCGATCTAGCTGAGGTAAATTTATATCATAAAATTAAATCAATGTTTTATATATATATATATAT